TTTTTAAAATCATCCTAACATTAAGCCTATCAATTAATTACTCCCCAAAATCAATGCAAAATTAATAATTCATAATGGACAAAAGATACCCAAACTAGAATCAAAATTTGGTTTCTTTCTTCTTCAATATCAATCCATAAAGAATTAAACATTGTTGCATAAATGTATATTCCTATATTCCCTAATTGAATCTTCCAGATTACGAGGAAATGTTGCTGGAATTATTATGTAATTTAAGTGTATATAATTTGATTCGACTTTTAGATTCTCCAACTCCAATTTGTCATATAAAATATGGTTTCACAATTCATTAGCAGTATTCTCAGTTTATGTCGACTTGAATGAAATATATAGTGGCATATATGTATCTGATATTAAAATTGTGATTGAATTTTCTTAGGGTCCTCGGTTCGATTGTGTATGTATGATTTAAAAAATAATTAGGACCTTAATTTTCCCATATTTCGACTTTGGGTATTCATTGTGTTACCCCAATTCAAAATTATATGCTGTTGATTTTGTGTTGTAAATCTGATCGTGAAATAACACAGTTAGTTGAATATGGGTTAATTTTAGTAAAGTATTTGTTGGAGTAAAATCAACCCATAATTGATTATCACGAATGAGTTAAGTGATATTTCCCTTTTCTTTTTTACAATAGATTTAAAGTAATTTTGAAAAAAAAATTACATATTAAAATTTGACATTTTATTAAATTGTATGTAAGAGGCGTAATTTCCACTATCAAATACATATGTCCAAGAATTAATTGGCCCAATAAACATACATGTGCCCAAGAATTAATTCTCTAAAAAGGGGCCCCATAAAAGTGTAGGTTATAGCCCAACTATTAATTGCATAAAGGAAACAAGCTTCATGAAAATAATAGGCTTAAATGAAAATTGATCCAATTAAACTATCTTATGATTATTTATTTATTTATTTTTAAATGGGCCAACAATACCCCACCCAACCTATTCCATTCACTCAATACAAGGATCTCCGACGATTTTGCTTATCACAGCTTGGTGGAGACGGTGGATCCTCGGTGGCTCCATCGGTATGGGATTTTCGATCTCTGGCAACCAATGACGAAGGAGATGAGCTGGACGATGTTGTTGGTATCGGGGATTGCTGAGATTTCTCAGTAGCGTCATTGAGCAACGCTGATTCCAAATCTGTGAATAGTAAATGGTGACGATGTAGTCCTTCGACGCCGACTGGTGCGTACAGTCCTTCGTAGCATTGCAATCCTTCATGTGCACGTTGCAATCCTTCATGTGGACATTGCAATCCTTCAATGTCAACTTGGGGTTTTTGGGTGTGACGGTGGTGGTGAAATAATGGCGTGGTTGGATGCAGCGGCGGTGGGTGTAGGTGCAGTGGTGTTGGTGGTGTGGTGATGTCACCGTCGATGTGTAGTAGTGTTTGACCAGTTGCGCAGATGTGGTGTGTGATGGGTTTGTGGGTTCAAATCTGATTGGTGGTGAGAAAATCAGATGTGACCAAGTCCATCTTTATTGTAACTGCCTGTGACCAGATGTGACTGTATGTGACTTGTTTACATACAATTGCAAGTTAGATTGTTATGGTCACTGACAATCACAATGAAGACAAAGTTGGTTACAATTAGTCACAGATAACATAGAACAGTGAATGCAGTAAAGTTGGAGGTGATTGTTGTAGTGACTGGTGGTGGATTGTGGTACTGGTCTATGATGTGTGAAGATTTGTTTGTAGTGACTCTTTGTAGGCAAGTATGTGTTTATTGTGAAAGTTGTGATCAATTCTATCTTGATTGTGACCGATTGTGACTTGATCACATACCATCACAATTAATACTGACTTAGTCACAAACAATCACATTGAATACAAATTTGGTCACAATTAGATATAGCAGTGGGTTGGAAATTTTCTGGATAGGTGTGGTCACAAACAATAAATCTGGTTACAGGTAAATTTTTGGAGATTTTTCTACAGTGGAGTATAGAGGGAGAAATTGTTTTCAATTTTTAGAGATTTTTCTATCACCGGAGCTAGAGCAATCGTCGGAATGGTCGCTCGCGTAGTAGTCAGAGTAATCGTCAGAGCGGTAGCCGAAGTAGTCGTCGGAGTGGTTGCGAAGCAGTCGTCGGAGTGGTCACCGGAGTTGATGGCCTTCTCCGATGGACAGGTGAAGGGAAGGTAGTGTAGTAGGATTATGTGACATGGAATGGAAATAATTAATATATATTATATTATAATTTAATATTTAATAAATTTATTTACTACCTGATTTTTTAAATATTTTAGTGAGTTTGTTATTTATGAAATGTAGTCTTTAGAACTAGGACTTATGTGTTGATCCTAGGAGAGTCAAAGAATCGAAACTCCCGGCTCAGACTCGACTTAAGCTTTTTTTGATCTGAGCCAAGCTGGGCAAAAACTTGACCAAAAAATTAAGGCTTAAGCTAAGCTTTAGGCTCAGACTTTGCTGTGTCGAGCCGAGCCGAACTTGCTTGGATTTTTTTTCTTCTTCCCTTTGCTGCCTATTGGAGATTAATATTTTTTTAAAATTTAAATGATGGGGCTCAACCCGAGCCTCAAACCGGGCTGGGCTTGAGCTTTTTTTAGGCACGGGCAATCCGAACTAGCTAGCTTGATTGCTCAATTAAGGAAAATATTCATTTACCAAAAATAGTCCTTGGCCCGATAATTGACTAATTCAAATGAATGCAAAGGATTTGCGTTCATTCCTCAAGTTACAGTCATCTTCAACCTCTAGCGGGTTGAAAACGACCTGGCTCCAAACCCGCCTCATACTCGACCTTTACTCCATCAAAACTCAAGTTTGAAAAAGGGTAATTAGTACAAAACGTCCCTACCTTTCATGATTTTCGTGGAAAATGTCCATACCTTTAGTTTTTTGGCACATTTCATCCCTACCTTTACATTTTCTTGTACAAAACATCATTTTCATCATTTTTCTCAATAAAAAGCTATAAAATGACTAATATACCCTTTTATTTAAATAAAAAAAATAAAGAACTAAATGCAATCGTAGTTCCAAATAAAAAAATAAAAAAAAAATTCTCCACCTCCACCTCCTCTTTTGAACTTTTTTAAAAATTGGAACTATGATTGCAATTAGTTCTTTATTTTTTTATTTAAATAGAAGGGTATATTAGTCATTTTATAACTTTTTATTGAGAAAATGATGAAAATGTTGTTTTCCACAAGAAAAGGTAAAGGTAGGGATGAATGCGCCATAAAATGAAAGGTAGAGATATTTTTCACAAAAATCATGAAAGATAGGAACGTTTTGTGCTAATTATCCTTTAAAAAACATACAAAGTCTAGAAAGGTGATTTCATGGAAAAATCTAAATTTATTTTTAGAAATAAATTTCGACCAGAAATCAGATTTTTGCAGATTGCTCCATAAACATCAAGGCAAAGGTAAAATGATGCTCTGATACCAAATGTAAGACTAAAAATCGATCCAGAACAATTGTGCAATGATGAATTGGATCGAAAAATCAAAAAACTCGTGGATCGAATTCATACATCTGGCCATTGATGTTGATTCAGAAGCTCTCCTTTCTTTAGGTAATGAACTTCCAAGCTCTCAACACTCTTAATTGACGGTGTATATTGTATTTTCGGATGGTGGGAGTTTGGAGACCAAAACCCATCTATATGGATAGCCAAAATCCCCATCAAATTATGGCTTCAATTACTGGTCTTGATTGTCCAATTAATGGGTAAGTTTCTGAAAAATTGAAGAACGGTGGACCACATTGATTGAAGAAATGAAACTGTTACACATGATATGAAACCCAGTGAGACCCGGTTGTTGCCTGGGTTACCCGAAGGCATGGCCTTGAGCTATTCGGACCTTAAAAGAAGGGCTCAACCACCTTCACGGTTCCCAAAAAGTGGTCCGCGTGGACCGGGCAGACCACCAAGTGGAATGAACTTTGGCCTTCCTGGACCGGGACAACCACTGAGATGGCTAGAAGAAGTGGACGGTTTGACCGTCTTGTTAATCAACACGTGATGATTTGGAACAATCGTTTCTTGAATATATATCTAGTCAAATAGGAAAAGTAGTTCTGGTTGTCGGTCCACTGTTGCTAGAAAACTACTGGAAATCGGTTAGGTCCGATTCATTTCTTTTTTACGAAAGGTCGAACCGCGAGTCAAATTACAGGGAAGATGAGGTGGTTCAGTGGTTGATTCAAAGCCAAGTCAGTCAGTCATTTACGTGTCATTTGGTAGTGAAGTTGGTCCAACACTGGGAGAATATGCTGAATCAGTAGCGGCACTAGGAGAATTGAACCATTCATTCATATGGGTATTTCAACCCGGTTCAGGAAGGCCAGGTCCACCACCCGGGTTTTTTTGGTGGGAAACCCGGTTCAGATTAAGATGAAGGATACTACCCACATGGGTTGAAAGAAAAAGTTGGGCATAGAGGACTCATTATCAAGGGATAGGCACCAAAATTATTAATTTTGAGCCACCTATCAACTGAAGGATTTTCGTCCCACCGGATGGAATTCTACTGCGCCAATTAGGTGTGACCAATTTTATGATGCAAAGATGGTTGTGAATCATTTGAAAGTCGCTTATATGGTTTCAACAGGGGATGACTTTTCAGAGATGGTGAAAAAGGATGATATAATGCAACAAATTGAGAATTTGATGGGGGTATGAGGAGGTTCATAATTAAGCAATAGGGTTAGGCTACATATTTGGGAATGGTTGTCCATCAACATCAATGGCTTCTTTGAAAGCATTTCTTGACCCTATAACTCAATAGTTATCTTGGCGTCGTCATGGTACATTATGTTAGAATTAAGATTAGATAAAGCTAGACGATAGACGAGATTTTAATTTTCGTCATGCTCTTTAATCCACTTTGTGTACTATATAATTCACAAATGAGTGACATATCCATGGTGTTCTTTTCCTATTAAACTAAAAGAACAGGAATTAACATTTGATACGAAATATTACAAAAAATTAGACAGCAAAGAGTTTGCAGTAACAAGAGTCATAAACACAACATAAATTTATTTGTACATCTCAAGTAACTGAAAATACCTATACCCTAAATTTGTATGTTTTAGCACAAATGTAATGTCAAGTTCTAAAAATAATTTTTCATTTGGGAGGGTAAAATAAATAACCTATAAGTATCTGAAATATCATGGTATGAAGAGCTATGTAGTATCCGATTCGAGCACTGGGACAATAGCTGACGAAAGTTCTATATGTGAAACTCGGACAGCACCGATAAGCCGCTCAGGTAACTCATTCGGTGTGTTAGCCTGAAATAGGCAGATATTTGAAGCATTTATGAAACTCAGCATAATTAAAAGTTCTCCAATAAAGCATAGATGATACATAAAAGTTGTTTTAGCGGACTATAGCAAGAAGTTCTATCTCCATTTTGCCCTCATTTCTGTACACTAAAGTCTACTCAGGCAAATGCTCCACTTTATTTTCTCGTGGTTTTCAAATGTAACTATTTCACAGGCAATGAGTTGTCCTTTTATTTTATTTTATTTTTTGCTTAAATAAACTTGAACCAGATTTTTTAATAGAAAATAAGGAGAGAACTTGAATCATTTGTTTTCTCTTTTTTTGGTACTTTTCCATCAATACATGCTTATGCTGACTAAAGATTTTTCAAGATCCTCTTCTTAGTCAAAGTATACTGAACATTTACAATTGCCACTGGTACATCTAATTTTTCACCTAGAGCTTTTATCTTTGATTTGACCACATATAGAAGTGTTCTTTTCCCACTCATCTTTTAATATTCCGACATCCATGGATACTTTTCCTTCGTAATAGCATAAACGAGAAAGACAATGCAAATAAGTTGTACATGTACAAATTGATTCTATGAAATATAGCATCTTTAGTTACGAAGCAAGTACCTGTACGAGGAAAGCCATGTCAACAACAAGTGTTGTAATCACACCAATTACAAGCCCCAGGACTCCATTTGCCACAGTGGAAGAACCAATGTCAACATCAATCTACAAGTAAACAAGAGACCAAAAGAAAATAAGGCACCATCAAATAAAGCATTCAGTTGCTAGCATTGACAGTCCTGCAATTTTGGAGATTTACAAGTGGATAATAGTGAAACATGAAAGGAAGCTTACTTCCAAATACTTGGGACCACGGATATAGTTGCAATCAACAGCTTTTCCCAGTAAACAAGGGGTACTTCCAACACTCTGACGAACAATCCATGATCCCTGCATGATTCGCAATGGCAATTCACAATCTAATGCAGTTTAAAGTTACGAAGTGAAGGGAAGAAGTGGTACAAGTTTGGTAGGGATAATTAATCATAACAAAGAAGTTCTCGAGTTCTGAGTACTTAGACATTGTAACTGACACAACAAAGCACTCGTTTGATTTATGTCGGAAGTTTGCTTTCAACATATTTGCTAGTCAACCAGGGACCTGCTTGGTTGTTGACAGGTTAGTTAGAGATTTGTCATCTCTTAACCTTTAGTTGCTACTGAACTGATATTCTATTGCTCTTCAAAAAGATGTTATGGATTGTGAAAAACTTCCCATTTATGATGTTGTACCTTGCCATTGTCTCAATCCTCTGTTTAAGGCTTTTACTTCCAGTTTAGCATCTCCATCCAAGTAGGTGCCAAGCAATGTGCACGAGTCACTATAAGACTCTACATGGAAGTCGAGAGCTTTACACAAAAATGAGACATGGTAGGTAGTTGAGTTACATAGAGGGCAGAGAAAAATACGGTGCAGGCAGATTTTAAGGTCAAGTATAAAGCACACAAGTCAGTCGTAAGGCAAGGTTCGTGATTTAAGGATACACAAAAACTCAGAATTGACAATCAAGAAACCTTTGCTCCTATCACCAAATGGAATAGATCCATATTCTACTATCAATAGCTAGTACTCTATGTTGGCCCTCTCACCAATTTGGTGTAAAGAATGCAGCCACAGGAAATCGGAGGAAGAAGTTTACATGGATCCTCCTCTGGAAATTAAAGGCGTGCTTGGAGATGACAAGTGTAATCTTAAAAAATCTTCGTATTGGCTGAAAAAATCTCCAAGTGCTGGATTTGGAAGACGCCTATGATTCTGTGGGTACTCACAGATTACCCAGGGACGATTTTATTAAACACTCAATTTCTAAGGAAATAATAATACTAATTCCCTCTATATAAATGATATAATTGTTATGAGTGATGATGAACTGGTGGCCAAAAGCTTCATAGCGGTGAACGAAGAAATTTAAAACAAAGAAACTTGTGGCTAGAGGTATTTTTATGGGATTGAAGTGGCTCCGGGTTCGGTCTAAAGGTGGGATTTTGTTCCGAAGGAAATACGAATGAAATTCGCACGAAGGGATGCAAATGAGCTGAAAGCCCAGTTGATCCAAATCCTTTCTTGAGGTCCATTACTGATAGGGAGCCTATTGAAAGGGAGAAATAACATGGACTTGTTAATAAGCTTATTTACTTCTTTCATGCTCGACCTGATATAGCATATACAGTAAGCAGGGTTAGGAAATTCATGCATGCTTTGTTAGACTACCATATGGAAGTTGTTTAAAGAATTCTGAGGTACTTGAAAGCAACAACAGGAAAAGGCCTGTGTTTCTCTAAACGATGGGCATCTACAGATTGGAGCATATATTGATGCTCATAGGTCTGGCTCTGTAATGGCCAGAAATTCAACCTCTTAACATATATTTGTTGGAAGAAACCTAGTAACAAAGAGAAAGGAAAAAAAAAAAAAAAAAAAAAAAAAAAAAAAAAAAAATACATGGTTGCCAGGTCAAGTGCTGAATCGAAATCAAAGCTATGGAGCAAGGAGTCTATGATATGCTTTGGATAAAAAACGTTCTCAAAGAACTTGAAATAAAACCTAAAAAATTTATGAGGATCTATTGTGACAACAAGAGGGCTATTAGTATTGCCATATGATTCCCTTAGACGTGATCCAAGAAAGCATATTGAAGTTTACAGACACGACATCAAGGAGTGACTACAAAGAAACAGTTAGGGTACAATTTACATAAGGAATTTCTGTGGTTGGTTCTGATGCAATAGTTGGCAAGCTGGACATGATTTATATTTTTTCTCAAACTAGAGGGGAAAGTTGGGTGTTTGCTTCCCTTTATACTTTATTTCCCATTCTACATGTTAATAATTAGTTATGAGTTCAACTCAATTCAATGAATCCACAATGAGCTACTACTAATCACTATGGGAAAAAGAGTCATTAATCTAATTAACGATTCAACTTCAGTCCAATTTGTAATGGGTTTAGATAATGCTCTTGAACTTGTCAACCCCACTATATACAAAGTGACAAAACAAAGATTATTAGATCTGTATTTAGATTTCGATTACTCATATCACTGCTAAATTAAACATTGTTAAATTTTTTGTACATCAACTACAACTTTGACTGTATTATTAACCTTTTGTCATGGTATGAGGGTCATATGGAATAGTCTAACCTATACTTGTGTAGGTTTTCATGCATATGGAGACTCTGATTACGAAACGACGATATTAATTAACCCAACAATGTGATATAAGAACAAGGTGGAGAATACAAAACTGAATATTACACCAATTCTGATATATAAAAGGGGGAAAATGGTCACCTTGGGCACTGATGGAATAAGTTTCAGTCTGCTATTGCGAAATTCATCATCCCCATCAACGAACCGCTGTAAGAGAGATCCTGGGACTAATTTCTTAGTCACAAAATAGAAAACCATGCTGTAGTGTGTCGATCCAGGCACCTTGAGAAGACAAATGTTATCTCTTGCGAAGCACCAAATGAATTAACTAGAATTGAAATTGGCTAGTTACTAACTCACTTGCAGATTAAAAACAATAGAGAAAAGTCCTTTATCTGATGCAACCTACAGAGGAGAAAAACAAACTATATCATTTATCATAGTTCAGTCAACAAATAGTTGGCACATTAACTTTTGTAATTCTAGATTCTTTGGAATGAGGGGTTAGATAGAAAGCTAAGCAGACATTGGAAAGAACAAGAACAAGTAACCACAGGTAAGAGAAAGCAAGGGAATAACAGACAAATATAAGATAACCTTGAAAAGAAATTCAGGAAACAAGCAATACTTCAGAGAGATAAATATCATAACTACACACAGTTGAATTTTTCTTTATTATTAATAGAGAATATATCAATAAAAAAAGTTAAGGTAGAGTCAAAAACAGTGAGGGGGAAGTTGGGAGCGTTACTCAAGGAAGATTAGGAAAAGATCAGATAAGGATAGAACCAGATAGGGCCCCCACCAGTCCGGCTGGCTAGTGACTTTCCTAATCGGTAAAGGATAGACACTTAAGAAGCAGAGACTCCATCTAACTCAGTTTTGATTCAAAATGTAACTATAACTCAGTCCAAGTTTACACAAAGCACACAACACTATATAAAGGCCTAAAGATGCAGAAATCCCACAAATCTGAATTTATTTTTAGAAAGCACACTTTTTAGCACGAGGCATTGACCAAACAAATATTTCTTTCTGATCACTGATGCTATGGCACTGTAAACTCAATGTTATTTTCAGTGCCAACAAAGTTCAAAACTCATCTTCCAACAGAGACTACAGCTGTCATTACTAACAGAAGTTCATCAAGAAATTTATGACACAATTGGAGGAACTTGATAGAAAAACAAAGTTCAGGTAATAAAAAATGTCATTGTTGGACCAACTTACTTGTGCTGCACACCCACGTCGTCTGGTAACATGGTCCATTCTTTTTGAATCTTTGAACCAGTCAACAGCAACAAGTTCCATGAGATGTTTACCAGCAGGAACCTTCAAAATATATACCATCAATGATGTAGGAGCAAGTCAAAAAGTACGCTGGCTAATCAAAATACATATATTTCAATTATCAAGAAATGAATTAATAACCTTTGATTTGTCATAGCAAAATTGCTTGCTACGAACTCTGAAGTTGTTTCCATCAGATAATGTCCAGCAATCACGAGCCTTGTCGTGGTTATCACGCCGAAGGTTGCCCGAGAAAATGGACAAATCAATTTGGTCTTGAGGTTCTTCTTCATCAGCTTCAATTTATACAAAACACTCAGTATAAATTCCACTTCATATTTAATACGAAGACTCAATGCCACATAAATAAAGAAAATAGTTTTATTCATCACTTACCCGTTCTCTTGTCTTCGATTTCAATGCTGGATGAAAATGTCTGCAAAATATTCAACCAACTATGAGAAACCACACAGAAACTATAAGAAACATAAGTATAATACGAACTTCTTGATCGACAACTTGATCTTCATCTTCATCAGAGTATTCATCCATCAATGCACCATTCTTATTTTCAGCTTGTATTTGATCTAGAGAAGGACTATGATGAACAGAAGATGAGTTGAGTTTGTGACTCCTCTTTGAAGAATTGGAAACTGATGTCATATTAACCATAACAGGAATTCTTGGAGCAGCAGTCCTGTTATCAGTTTGAGAAAAGTATTCACGCAATCCTGTAACATGAAAAACCAGAGAACCATCATTATGTTTTCAGACACGACGCAAACTTCCCAAGGGAAATGTCAATTTTGATTAGAATCCGCTAAATAAACACACACACACACAATGCAATAGTGAAGAAGTGTATTAGAAGTTTCCCTTTTGTCATTTCAATTTCTAAGGGGAATTATAATTCTTTTACAAAAACATATGGAAGACTCTGATGCTAAAAAGAAGCCAAAAAATAACGGGACGCTCGAGAAAAATAGCAGGAAGAGATGAGTAAAAATCAAATCTGTAATAAGTTGCACTGTTCAGTATCTATGCTGGTTTCAAATTACTGACTTACAGTCACCAAGATACTTCACACTATTGTAGTCTAAAGCAGTAAATGGCAATTTCATGATTAGCAATAATTCATTTCAGAGAGTAGTACTGAAAACAGTTTTAATAATCCACATCGTAGAAATAGCAATCAACAATATGCATAAGATGTACGTCAAATGATTTCAACATAGTTGGAAATCGGGTGCTTCAACAATCAACCAGAAATTTGGTGATAAGGAAAAACAAAGCATTAGATAAGACATCATCAAATTCTCTAACAACTAAAATTTTAGATCAAATGATTCAACATAGTATTAGAGCCCACAAAGGTCATGGATTGAAGTCTCACTGCCACCAATTCGATGAAAACGTGCATGTTAACAGGCTTTAATGCGAAAAAAATGATCTCCTCCTACGCATGAGGGAGCATGTTAAAGACAACATGTGGGCCTCTTGCCAACTTGAAATTTTATATCAAGTCGTTCAACACTTGCCAACAAACTAAAAGAACTCCAATGCTGAAACCTAGGTGATGTCATCCGACAACTATAAACCAAAGATTCTTACCAGCAACGCAATTTAACATCTGAAGCAGACAATGTTGCTGAAATGATGATATATAACCCACTCCCCATCCTTTGAGATCAATCTGCATAAGATGCTGCACCTGAGCTCTTGGTCTCCCATTACGAGGTTTCATTGGTGAAATATTGAACCCTCCACCTGAAAACAATGCCAACAGATCAGATACTAAATCTGTAATGCACAATAAAACTCCAAAATATTTTCGGAAGACAAATAGTTTCACTCAACAACAGAGGAAAGTTGAATTTACTCTCAATATGAGCTCGAACAAATCCTGGCTGTGGAGCACAATTCTCATGCTCTCTAGAACGAAATAACACAACTGCACAATAACAAGGTGAAAAAAGGACTATTGCATATTGGGAAACTTGAAATGCAAATAATTAAATGGGAAAGGCTTCAAATATTTACCATAACTCCCATCATCATTTCGACGCCAATACCTCACATAGCAGAGGTCACGGGGCCACACAAACCTGTAATAGCATGCAATAGTACTTCAAGATGGGATATTTTTAAAAGAAAAACTCCAAACCACATTCCATATCAGAACGAAGAGGAAATAGAAAGTGAAGGAATGTCATCCCTTTATTTTCCCATAAACAGAACATTGACGTGGGTAGATTACAGAAAATGCACCATGCCATACGTTAATGTTATATGAATGTCCATGGAGATGATGCATGAACAAATTGTAAATCAAACAATAACAGAACACGAGGATAAGGAAAGATAAAATTCTAAAGCCAATATTCCAACAAAAGAAAAGTTAATACAAGGAGACATTACATAGGGAACCAGTCCAGTTGAAGACTGTGATATAGTATTGCTGTATGTCCATCTACCTCCTCAACTAAGCTACCGTACTGGAAACTGCAATCCCATCTGTATAAACAACAGGATGTTACAAGAGCATAGCATGGGACTAAAGTTATAACAATTGAAATATACTTAAATAGATTGAGTTTTTGGCAAATACTAATTACGGCTCAGTTTTCCACAGGCTGTGGTCCAAGAACTTAGGCTAAGAAAAACCAAAAAATTAAAGAAAACCGCACTAAAACTTAATTTAGCCAAGAAAATAAGACTGATAAACATAAAATGAAAACATTCATTTCATCATTCAGGAATCTCAATAAGTTTCTCACAGAAATTTTTTTTTTTCCCTCAGAGCGCTGTGTTATTAACCAAGATACTTGGGCCAAATAAAAACACACCTTTCACCCATCCATACGACTGGACCAGTGAACCCATCCAACTGTAGACTAGAAGCCATTGAACAAGTAACAAGAATATTTTGTATATTTTATTCTTTTGTCAGTGGCCTGTCAACATATACCCAATATGCATCTGGCATTTCCAATCAGAAAGAAAAGACAACAGAACAAATCAACCTACAATAATAACCCATATGTCTCAGGTCTAAGTTGTAACTTCCCTCGACCATTTAGGACCAAGTGGAAAAACAGGCCCAAGTACTCTTAAGAGATGCAAGTGGAATCAGGCTTGTCAACCTAGCAATGGTAATGGTGCATTTAAATTTATAGAAGCTCAGAAATTGTTGCGAGCAGGCACTGATATTTACAATACTGAAAAACCAATGTCAGTTACAACGAAGGCAAAGTTTTACTACTCAGCTGGTGTTTATTATTTGGAGCTGGGAATCAAACTCAACTAGAACTTTTTCAGGATAGTGGTAATTACCTAGTGTTAAAGAAAAAATCTCAACTTAAAAGCTTGTTTAGCACAGATTTTTTCAAATGAAAAATGATTGATTTTTTATTTATTTTCTTTTTTTTTTGGAGAAGATTGATTTTAGAAAAACTGTACCAAACAAACCTTAAATTGCTTCAAACAGAATAACAATCTCTTCCTTTAGCTTATGCATATGATCTTTCCATTTTCAGTGCATGCTTTGTAAAGATTTAACAAATCACAAGGGGGTCCATCACAAGTACAAGTAAGTTGATAACTTGTAATGGCTCAGACAAAGCCCTGGCATTAAATTTTGATTAAATCACTGTTAGAGAAACCAAAAAGAATATAACATTGCAACAGTCAAGCTATTCTTTATAATAAAACTGTGAAACAATTCAGCAACACATGCAAAAAGGCTCAAAGCGATGTCAGTTCAAATAACAGAACATATTGAACACATTTTGTGGAACAAACAAACACACTTTCCATTCAAACCTAGTTATTCAAAAGAGGGAAATATAGGGCAATTACATTCATGCATCAGAAAGAAATCAAATAATTCATTCCCCAGTTATCAGCTAGTTGTACATGCAACGGAAAAATGTGTAATCAAAATTGAAAAATAAATTCATGAGCACTAATTAAAATTTAGGCCAGAGTTCTCAACAAGCATATCAGGATATTTATTAAGCAATTTACTTAATTTCACATTTATTAAGCGATTTACTTATTTCCAATCGACTAATAAAAAAAGATTTTACTGCACGTATATAATAGATTTACATAATAGTTTATATACACATGATGTGGTGATATATGATTGGATCAGAAATTTTTCAATCAAATTAAAAAAAAAAAAAAAAAAAAAAAAAAAAAAAAATGAGGAAAAAAAAACTTTCTCACCTTCTTTCTTACACCTTATCTGTATATAAACTATTGTGTAATTGCTTATATACAAGTAGCATTATCCATAAAAGATTTATTTATTTTTAGAATGAACTTATTTACTTTTAAGGGGGTGTTTGATAGGCATTTTTATGTAAAAATGCATTTTAGAATAGTAAATTGATGTGAAATGTGTGATTGAGAAATAATGAAAAGTTTTTGATTTACGTGTAATATTATTTTAATAAAAAATGTGTGGTTGAAAAGAAAAGAGAAAAATACATTTTGAAAAAAATGGCTACCAAACGGGGCCTAAGTAAACTTAAGCTTAGCAAAACAAATCTCAACCATAATATGATGCCCAAGTGGCATGCATTATTAAGGATGCTCCATATGTTATGATTTGAATAGCCTTCTTTCTTCCTCGAATTGTCAGAATAATTGCAACTTAGCAAAAATAAATAGTCTTTTGTACTCCCTTTACAAAACTACCCTTCAAAAAAATCTATATTAGTTTTTGTGGTTCCACTTTCACATACCCTCCCTCTATCTATCTGCCTAACTCAAATCAGGATACATGTGTGGACGCTTTATTGAAAACCCAATCTAAGACAAACCAAGAGACTCAAACAGAAAAGGAGGGAGAGTGTGATACATCTTACATTATAAAACAGGAATGAAAAAGTATATAACAGGAACTCTATAGCTGTAGCTATTTGGCTTTTTATCTAATGAACATCTAGAATTTAAATACATATAGATGTTTACATATTCGAAAAATAAATTTTTTGATTTCATATCTAGTATAACTTGCATTAGTAGTACCAATTTGTGTTTTGCAATTAAGAATCTGGTTAATTTACTTATCTTTCACAGGTAAAAAAAATTCATGATAATCTCAATGCAATGAAAGATAACAATAAAATTTTCCAGACACTGTCCTCCATAATGATCTTTAACATGCAATGGAACACTAAAAAGTAAATCTAGATTCAACAATAAAAGCACCTACTCAAACCGTGTGGCATCCATGCTCATTACTAGCTCAAAAATTTCTTCACATGTAGACTCCACGACCCCAACTGCCTTCATTGCTCTACTACAGCTCTTTGGCTACATAAATATAATAATATTATAAAATATAAACTAAAACATCTTTCTTATTTAAATCATTGGGCACTCTACTGCTGCTTACAAGGAAATCCACTTCGACAAGCTCCTCGAAAATCCGAAGCCCTGCAAATTCGCAAAAGGAAAATGGATAGCCAAGTTACAGGCAATGCTATTCCTCATCCACTGTCCAAAGGTTTTCCTGATCTCGTGAATCCATTTCCATATATAAAAAGTAACGCAAACCAGGAACAGCTACCCACCGTTTTGACATTGAAGAAGGCGCCAATACTTTCTTGAAAATGCTTGATTGTTAGAATTCTGGTTTGTAAAGTCTGAGTCTATTTCCCTTGTCCAATCAAATACAGAATCGGGGGGACCTGCCAAACAAAAATTGGTAATAAAATTTAAGTTAATATAGAAAAAAACTATGAGGAAACCAAGAGAAGAACGAAACCAAAGAACCTTTTCCAATTGTTGTTCTGCGCGACAAACTCCGTTGTGATTCATTTTCATCGTCACCTGCACTAAACCTGAAGTGGTTGGAAATCATTTAGCATAGGAAGTCTAGAATATCAACAAAAAGCTAGTACATATAAACAATTGTACAGAGTCCCACGACCTGAATTTATATATAAGTAAGAAGGCCAGACATATCAGTGCAAGTCACTATAAATTGCATGTCATCCATTACAAGAACATTTATAAAAAGAATTGGTATAATAGCAGTATTTGTCTGGACAAGACGTGTCTCAACTACCTAAATCGTCTTTCTCCTGAGTTATTTTCAGATTGGTGTCCCCTTCACTTGTTGATATGTCCACACATCCATTTTATAATGTGGATTAGTGCAGAATGAACTTTTTTCCCATTAACAAGTCAACATTGAGTTCCATAAAGCATAGTGGCCATACCATTTTTTTATGTAGATATTTTCAATCATATGCTAGGACAACTAAGAAACAATAATTGAAACCTTCTAAAAGATAAATAATTACGGAAACAATGGAACATAGCTATAATAAGTCGTATTCATTTAGTGTATTATTGATCTCATTAGCATAATTAGATTAATGTTGTATTCCTTTATTGTATAGTCGAGTTGATTAGCATAATAATAGGAGAGAGATGTCAAAGCATCCCCAATGCTTCAGCGGATTGCTAAAAGAAATTTTCCACATAAAGGAAAAATAGACTTTCTCTCCAATGCAATCTAAGGGTGACTCTTATCATGTTGATGGGGCAAAGGAAAAGCCTGATATTATTCAGAGCTCCATCTAGATTTATAAGCTTTGTTATATACTGACTCAGTAAAATTTATATTTCTTATGCAGATTTGCACGTGGTTTCGTTTTTATTTTTAAGAAAATAATTAATACCTAGACACCATTATTAGGTCGTAGATGGAACTTATAGAGGCCAAATTTGGACTTGAGTGTCCATTCATTCGACAACAATGCTAAGTACAACGGAAGTATTTAAGACCATAGAGGAGAAATGTTTGAAAATTGATAGGTTTTCTTCACAATACATTTGGTGTTGCAACTTTCAGAATTCCTCAATGAAATATGTTAAATTTCCAAAAAAAATCCACAGAAACAATCACTTGGTCGTTCTAGAATAGTTTAAGAAGAAATGGTCCATAGTTAGCCAAATAGTTAATAATGAATAGATTTTAAATCACGCTCTTAGCATAATTAGAAATAAACCATAGCTTACAATTACAAATAACTATGTTATACTAACTAAAGCAATTGTGTTGAATTAAAAGTTTTTTGTTAGAAAGAACCACCTTATATCATTTAGATTATGTCTTCGCTATGCCCCCTCAAGTATAGGAGAGAATCCTTTTTTTTTTTTTTTTTCAAATCAAATCCTAACAAGTGTGTTAATTTCATCAAATATGTGACCGTGAGACTTAAACCTAGGGCATTTGAATTCTTTTTAATACCATATTCAACCACTTGATCAGTAAGAGAGGATATATGTCTATAATTTAAATCTTGTCTTCAACAAATTGGATACCCATGGTGACCACAAAGGAAGAAGAAACTTTAATGAAAAAAGATGAAGTTTGTAGTAATAAAAAGCATCAAGAATACTACTCATGACTATTTTAAGCGTCATATTTTTGTTCTTTGAATCACTAAGGGATGTTTATTTGATTTTCTATACTAGGTCCCTCGGGAAAAATTTTCTAGGCAGTTAAATCAGTTGAAATAAAATGCCTCAAAAGAAGGAAGATTAATACATTCCTTCAATTTAATAGAATTCTTGCTTTATACAAGCTGCATGGCACAATCTTGCCTAGCCTCTGCGAGTGTTAAGCACCCATTCTTTGTGTGGGGGCATGGAACATCCAATATATTTTAATGGAAATTAGAAAACTTTTCTGCAGTATTGAAGGTCATTTCCGAGATTTTTGAGAAGCTAAGAACAGTGTGGCGGATTACTTGGCTTCTTTGGGCCATTCACACAAACATCCAGAAATCTATCTCCTGATGAACCCCATGGAAAAATGTTGGTCTTCTTCTCACTGATTCTTTATCTTTACCATAATCCGTGTTTAATTTTGTCACTTGTGTCCTGTAAGGGACGGGATACCTCCTGAACATAGATTGTCCCTTGAGGTCGTTTAGGGTTTTTGCCTTTTACTGGAGATTTGGCCTAGCCCCCTCTAGTTTTCTGTTTCATTAAAATTTTTCTGATCAAATGAAATATACTGCTTATGTAAGTAACTTCACCTTTAACCCATCCACCTTGGAACTATTGATATTTGATGGTAATGACAAATATATTTCAGACAAGGGATCAAAATATATATGATGGTTGCAAGGGTGGCTAGGAGACTGCTAGAACAGGAAGAGAGAGAAGGAAATTTCAACTTTCGGAACTTCATTTTTGTTCAATTATCAATTTCAACAAAAGCTGGTTGATATATATATGGTGACATTTCTATTGTTTAGATACTTCTAGTAAAATGCACTTGACAATTTCAGGAAGCCTCCATCTCTTAGTAAAAAAAACAAGATAATATGTTCAATCAAGTGATCATCATATCATCTCCCAGTACTGTTGGAAAGGACAATTAACGTTTCAAACCCATAGTTTATTTTCTCTACATTAGCTATCAAAATGAATTTATCAGGAACATAATTCCCATATATGCCCATAGAAATAAGTACTATGGTACTTACTGACTTTCACGATCCGATGATGAGGCGGTCCTTCCATTATCCATTCCAGATTTATATTCAAAAGAAAGAAATTTGTTACCACTGGCAGCTTGTGAATCTTGATACTGTTGGTCAGCATGTCATCAGTTATTTGGCCAATTAAAAAAAAAAAAAAAATAAAACAAAGAGTATAAACTATATGGCATGCATGAAATGAAGCATCATTCCCTGAGATGGCAAGACTAAGAATATTCTATCACCAAATATAGATAACGCCATCTTCAAACATGCATAGGACCAACATATGCAACAATCTCAATAGACAACTCCTCAGTAGAAATGGAAAAAGCAGCAGAGTTGAAGTAAAATAAATAATTGAGGAGAGAATAAGGCTAAGAAAATAACCTGATCAATAACACATTCAATTTTTTCTTTCCAAATAAGTGCCTCCTGAATGTTGAAAGCTGCCATCTGGAGCAAGGTAAGTGACTGATATAGGAAAGTTTCATTCTTGACACAAAAGCTTACATGGTAAAAATATCAAAGTTTAGGATAACAACCTAAATGAGCAAAGGTTGTAAAGTCAACCAGGCATCAAGAGAAAGGCTAAAACATCATGTATCTGTGGATCCAAAATGTCACTAAATTATTCTCAATTTCCAATATTCTAAACTTAATTGTGTTGCCCATAGAGTAGATTTCGCGTCCAGCTCTGCCTTGTGCACTTCAAGATTCTTTATATGTGACTTAGAACCATGCATTTTCGTTCATTCTTTGAAAGAAGTGAGTCGTAATAGCAAACACATATCAATACTGCAACTTTAGGGATTGGTGTCCCTAGAGTACAATCTAGATAAAGATGAGATAAACACAACAAAATTTTTGGATGGAAATATACATGCTGGGATATAATATTCTTCCAGTTAGAATTTGAAACATATTCATGTTATGTTCATCAAACATATGTAAATTTTCACTGAAAGACTTTCCAATTCAAAGAAACTTTTATGTCATTTATTTGATGTTCCCAATAGATTTCTACAGCATCTGTTCATTTTCTACAAATTAAATAACGGAAAATATATGAAAGACAATCTAAGTAATACCATGAATAGTGGATTTCAGCAAAATGGCTGAACCACAAAGCAATTTAGAAAACTGGCTAGAACAAAACATCCTGCCTCAAAAGATGAAATCGCACAATCTAAATGTAAAAGGAATCCAAATAAAAAAGAAAATAAAAGTTTTAAGTCCTAGAAAAATGATACAGAAATAAACCAAGAATAAAACAACACATCCATATAGAATATCCCATTAACAAAGCTCCCTAGAACCACCAGGTGTATCACCTTATGTTTACTCGTTCGATCATGTCAATTCTCAGTTATAGATGGATTTACGTGAAATGATATCTGTTAGCATTCAACTCTGGTGTTCTAACTCTGGTGTTCTAAGTGTGCTAGTATCTGAATTTCACCACATTTAAGTGATCTTTTCACATTTGACACAAATCTACGCCATTACATTGACAATCAAAGGCCGTCTCACTTTCTAAATTGCAAGTGCGCAATTATGAAAAATAATGATGAGGCAATGTCATAAGGAAAAGATATCAAGTTTTGGATGTGCACAGAAAACATTGGTTAATTACCGACAATAACAAAGAGATTATAGAAAATAGGCAAAGATCAAGTACCGTAATTCGATTATGTTTCTCTTTCTTGTCATAAACAGACAGAACATAAACCATCTGCAGAAAAGAGAAACGGGTCACAAATATGAACTAGAAAAGCAAGTATGAAATGATCACATTATATTGTTAACACAACTGCAAGTTGTCATCAGCTGTCGTTTCTTATTAAAGAAGGCATTATTCCACCCAAAAGCATGATTGTGATGCACGCATGCACAATTATAGAAAAAGATAGAAAATCCTGGGAATCCTGCTTTCCTAATTCCAAAAATGAAATCAGAAGTTTTACCATTTTATGACCAAACCCACAAAAGAGCAACCAAATTCAATATCCTAGGATCCAAGGAATTTTTTAAGAGAGTCAAGGAAAATCTAGCCCTACATAGACTATTACGTTCAATCTCAACAAAGGTGTAAATCAATAATTCTTCTACTGGAGGGTTAACGTGCCAATAGCAATATCATTATTTAAGGAGTCGACAAAGTTAAGAAACTTCTGGATTTGCAACAAAACAAAAAATATGGGTCCATGTGTCATGTTATAATTAGGTCAGTGTCATAAATCCTAAGATGGAATTTAGTTAGTTAATAAATCATTCTAAAAGATTCCAAATGTTATAGCAGATTAGGATATATCTGCTTAGCCATATAACTTCAGTTTAACGAGATATCGAAGAATGAACTTTAAGAGATTACCCTACAGGATATGGTCATCACTTTTATAATCACACCCAAATTTTCCTGAACTTTCTTTAACCTTCCCCTGGTACAATCTAACATGGATTAAAATTTCAAAATATACTGTACCGAAAGCCCGAAAAGCTTAGGTTTTTCAAGTTATAGAAGCAAAAATTGTTTGTAAATTCAACAGACCATGGTGTTCTACCAATTCACGTGGTTATCTATAGTTTTCATCAGAAACAGTAGAAATTATTAAAAGCCTTAAATCGGTACATGTTTCCTTATTTGAATTAAATACTTGCCAAAAATATTTAAACGTATGTAAGATTTCATCAATAAACTCTACACTTCCAAACATAGCAGAAAATACAGTGCACGTTGATTTGATAAATTTTCTGCTGAAAATTATTCAACCAATACACTGAAAACATTTACACATTAAAGATGTAATATTTCATCAATAAATCCTACACTTCCTAAGCATAGAAGAAAATATTGTGCATTTGATTCAATAAATTATCTATTAACCTGAAACGATGGAGTCATGCAGATTCTTAGCTGATGCGTGTATCAGGAGAAAAAAGCCAAAACTTTCTTTAACACGATACTATAATTAAGGATAAGAGCTCATTACACCTCACATAGACCCATAAAAGATTTGAATGCATGAAACGGAAAATAATTAAACATTAGTCAAAACAACGAGCCATCAATTCAGCATCACATGATGACAAAGTTCTATAAAGTATCAATACATCAGTATATCATGGTCATACAACTGATACATACGCTACAATGCAGTCTCAATGGGTTCAGTGCATATATTTCACAAAATATCTTTAAATGTTAAAGAAAATCTGAACTGGAAAGAGCAAGGAATATTCATGCTAGCTCACATGTCCATGATGAGTCTTCAATCCACGATCCTCCACCCTACAATTGCCATCTATGAGAAGCGTTTTTATTGGTACCTAATCACAAAAATCAATATTGAAAAAAATCAATCTCAACACCCAATTTTGCTATTTTGGCAACAAGCAATACTTAATTTAACTAAAAAGCTAAGCACGTGTAATTTAATAATTTATACTCAAGAAATCCCTATTGAGCAAAACCAATAGTACTAATTTATTAACTGGATGCATTTCAACAGGACCCTATTGTTTCCGTGTGCTTGTCAACTTCATGGGAGAAAATATCTACCGTCTCTGAACAATATACAGTTACAATCTCGAAATGCCTCAGGAAACAGTTAATCTAAAACGAAAAATCCTAAAGCAACGACAGTTCAGGGCCTTACCACATTGTCTTGTGGCTTCTTTTTGTAATAGGCCAACAACCGAGTCTCAAGCACAAAGTATCGCATGTGAATGTATGATCTTCCAATCTTTCTCCGCCCGTACCTCACCATCCATCCTTCATATACCACTTTAGAATTCGACATCCCCCTCAACTTAAACTATTCCACCTCAGAATTTAACCCTCCACCTGTATATATTTTAATTTTTCGGACATCAAAAAATTCTCCAGTACCGGAAGCTCGGAATAATTTGTATAATTCTTCGCTTCCGAGGAATCAACACAAACTATGCGACACCGACTCGATCAATCATCACAAAAAATTCACAGCCGAAATTCAAACACTTGAGACAGAGAAAATTAAATCTTCACTCTATGATCGGAAATCAAGTCAAACAGCTACGATCTGTTAGTTTCTCCACTGTAAAATTCAAAAAAGATATGTGTGATTCAGAGAATTCCGGTGTAATATTCCAGAAATCTGAAATACTATATATATGCAAATATTATGCATTAAATTGAAAAATAACACACATAAATTCTTTAACTTTTAATAAATACATAAGATACTGTAAATAAATTCGTTGACTTCGTTTTTACCGTTTACGCGATCTATTTTCAGGTCACTGAATAGGACACTTGCACAGTTAAAAAAGGAAAAGAAAAGAAAAGAAAAGAAAAAAAGGCCGGCAAGTCGAGGGAAAGTTTGACAAAAAGTGTGGTTTTACGAGTTTATTGGGAAAAGAAAAGGAGAGACGAGATGGATCCAGGTCGAGTTGGCCACTTGGGCGCCTAGGTGGGCTAAAGGCTCATAAATTTAAGTTGCTTACTTTCGAAGAAAAAGGGAAAAATTTAGAATTGTGTTAGTTGTACATAATTTTTCATCTATAAAAATATTCATACACTCACATAGGTGAGATTCACTTAAATATTTTATTCAAATAGGTCCTATCTCATGTGAGAGTATGGACACCTTTATGGATGTAAAATTATGTACAACTAGATTTATCCAAAAATTCATAACTAAGGGTCCGTTTGATTGTAAAGATGAAATTTAGGTGGAAAAAAATAAATTTCAAGGAATTGAATTGTTTAGAAATTATTTTGATTGGTATAGTTTTTCACATGGAAAATGTTGAAACAAAAGTGTTTTTTGTATTCGTTTGGCTTTGTTTTACACGAAAATTGTCAATTAAAGAGATGAAATTTGTTTCCATTGCCAAAACAAAAAAATTCAAGAAAATCATCTATTTTTTGGTTCGTATTGCTTTGTTTTACATGAAAATTGTCAATTAAAGGAATTTTTTTACAATAATTATTAGAATTTGTTTCCATTATCAAACAAAAAATAATAATAAAATAAAAACGTCAACAGTAATCGGGAAAATCAATTCCCACCATATTTGGTAGGAATTGATTTTCCCACAAATGCTAGAAAATTACAACTCCTAAGAAATCCAAGAATTTAATTTTCATGGAAAATAAAACGCTATCAAACACACAAAAGTTGGAAATTGACATTCTAATTCCATTTTCCCTAGAAAATTGGTGCCTATCAAACGATGCCTAAGAGATTAATCAAAATTAAGAACGAATATTTCAAATTTCAAAAATTAGATATTTACTAAAATTTATTTTATAATTAATTAATTATATATTTAATTATTTAAATATAATAATGTCACAATCATATATAATTTGGTAAAAAATTAATGATTTAATTAGTCACATATTATTTTTCGATTACAAATAAAAAATTTTAGATGTCAAAAATTATTTTACGATCATAATTCAAAAATTTTATAGGTCATATTTTGTTCATCGATTACAAATCAAAAATTTATAAATCACAATTTATTTATCGAACATAAATTAACAATATTTAAATCACACATTATTTCTTGTCACAATTTATCAATTTCATTGATCACTTATTGTTTATTGTTCACGGATTAACCAACATAATTTTCGCAACTAATCAAATATTTGTAACCACTACCAACACCTGTGACCATCATCTCACAACTACCTCCAATAGCAGCACCACCATCGTCGTTGCCAGATCCCACCACGTCCCAACAACAACATCACCACCTCAAACAAATCAACACATTGTAGAAAAACAACACCACATCGTCGTGCCAAATCTACCACCACCCAATAGACCTATCACCACCAACATCTCACTGCATAGTACACCACTACCCTACCACTATTGCATCGCACCAACACTATTGCCACAACAATGATCACGAACCACACCAAACTTCTACCGTTGACCACCACAAATCACAACTCCACAGATCTATGCGGAGAAATCAAATTATGAAAAAATGAGAACTTGTTCGCCTCTGCCTCTACCTCATACCAGCACCACCACCCCTTCTCTACCCCTACTCCATTTGCAGCATCACCCACTTGTCCAGAGCCATCCAGAGATAAAATAGCCACCTGTGACTAGAGATCTAAAACGTTGACCATCTACCTCAACTTGCAGTGTTGCACGAAAGGTCCATTATGAGCAATTGTTGCGCCATTGAGCATGATTTAGTGATATTTTTTGAGGTTATCTTCCTCCTTCGCTAAGCAACAGACGTCGTGAGCGATCGCGTGGCTTCACGTCGTGTGATTGGATTTTTAAAGGTTTTTTAAAAATAAATTATCATTCGACGACGAGTGCTTGTGGTGTTGTATCGGCCAAAGCAGCTTCTTCATTGCTGGTTGTCAGAGTTTGAATGGATAGCCGACATTTGAAAAGAGATACAAGAGAGAAAGGAAGAGAGAGAATGGAGAGATGTGCAGAGAAGAGGGAATGAAAATAATTAGGGTTGGATGAAATTTGTATTATAATACATAATATTTAAATATGAAATATCTAATTCTTAAATAATGAAACTTTAACCATGATTTTAGGATATTGATCTTTAAAAGTAGGATAGGATGTAATTTCCACTTTAAAAAATAAGAAGTGTAGTTTATTTATACAGAAATAGGATGATAATACAATTTTTAATATTAAATAATAATATTATAAAATTAAATTAATTATATACCCACCTAAACCCTAATATCCATTTTTCTCTCTACCATTTCCTTTCTCTCTCTATACCCCTCAATTCTCTTCTCTCTTTATCACCGTCGAAGATACCACGACACGGAGCTCTAGACGCTACCACCGTAGTGGCATTACTCCCAAACAAACATCACTCTTACGGATATGTTAAGAAGACAACAACGATCAATCTGTTATAGGCAGTGATTAGTGCCGCAATTTTATGGTGGTGGCAGATCTGTGTGTTTGACAGAAAGGGTGTGAATAAATAGTGGTGTGGTGGTCTGCGTTGGTGTGTGTGGTATTGTCTACAGTGGTTTGTGTAGTGATGATGCTAGTGGTGTTGGTGCAGTTGGTGGAGATGGGTGCATTGATGATGGTTTTGGGGTTTTAGGTTGGTTTTTTCCTCCGATCTGCTTCGTCGGAGCTTTGGGGGGTGTTCAGCCGATTTTTTGTGGTGTTTAGGTGGTGCTCAACCGGTGTTTTTATTTTAGATTGTGAGGCTGCGGTGGCAAAGTGGCGAAGGCAATTTTAGTTTTAGTATTTGTTTCTTTTGTTAGTTTCAAATTGTGAGGTTGTGTTGGTGGTGGCGACGATGAGCTCGTGTCGGCTCTTTGGGTTCTTTTTTAGTTTTTGTTTTATTACAAATTGTAAGGCGATGTTGGTGGTGAGGTGGCATTGATGGTGGTAGAGGTCGCAGCAATGGTGTAGTAATTGTGGGTGTTGGGGTTTGTGGCCATTTGGTTGGTGGTGGTGATGACTGTACTTGTAGATTGGTGGTGATGGCAATGTGGGTGGTGGTGGCCGCAGTTGCGGTGATGATAGGTTTGGGAATTTTTTGGTTGGTTTTGGTAGTGTGGCGTGGTAGATATGGCGGTTGCTAGTATTGGTGATTGTTACAAATTATTTGATTGATTGTGACCATTAAATTGTTTAATCTATGACCAATAAACAATATGCGACCAATGAAAAGATAAATTGTGACCAAAACATAATGTGTAACCTAAAAATGGTTAATTTGTGACCGATAATTTAATAATTTATGATTGTATAATAAGTTGTGTCTTATAATATTTGTGATTTGTGATCAATAAATAAATTGTGACTCATAAATATTTGATTTGTGACCGATGACAAATTGTAACCTATAAAGTTTTTGAATTGTTACCATAAAATTATTTGTGACACATAAAATTTTGATTCGTGGCCGAAAAGTAATACGTGACTAACTAAATCATTAATTTGTAATCAAATTATATACATATGTGACCTTAATATATTTAATTAATAAAATATATAATATATCAATTGAATCATAAATAAATTTTAATAAATATCCGACTTTTGAAATTTAAATTTTTGAAATGGATAATACTTAACCTCTTGTTATGAAATTTTCCCTAAATTTAATTATAATTAGTACAGAATAATTTTTTGAAAGGTGGCTTCTTTTTCTTTTTCCTTTTTTTTTTTAAAGAATACATGGTTAAAAATTAGGAAAAATTTAATAAGAAAATATGTAAAATACTTTTTGGAGAATGTATGATAAAAAATGAATAAGGGATAAAAGTGATTCTATAAAAAATACTTTTTTTTTTTTGGAGAAGGACCGTCACTGTCCTGATGTATTTTATGCTTCAACAAAATAGGACGAACAAGGTTAGAATTCTTTTACCATGAGATAAATGAATACAATGAAGGTGGACAAATTCAATACCCTTGCAAAAAATTGATCACATTGAAGTGTTTTTGAGGACAAATTCGCTTTGAATTTGATAAATGTATTGCTTGTGAGCAATCAAAGTCATGAAAATTGAAAACAATAAATGAAGATGTACTATCTCATTTAAAAATGTGAAAAACACTTTTAAACAAGAGCTAATAAATAAATGATTTGACCGTTTTTGTAGTCGTGATCGATTGGATATAAATTATTGTAATATAATGTATAATGATTCCTTAATATGAACTAGTTGTCAATATATTATGTGATGATCAATTATCATATTATAAATTTCATAATGTTATGTAGATATTTAGCTAAAGCATGTTGCTTAGATCGTTTATAGGTTAGAGATCGTCAATGTTAGAATATAGTACTATGGACTTTGAATTATGTCGTGTTGAGGTTTATAGCTATGTATTATCTGTATTGTGCCCGATCGAAGTACAAAATCAAGAGTT